GTCAATAAATTGAATTAATTTGTCCCCTAGCCGAGTCCGTTTCACCCAGGGCCACGGTCGGTGGGTGTTCCCTCTGTTCCTGTCTCACCCTCAGCCCTTCTGTTCCATTTGTCTCCTCTCCCCCTCACCGAGGGGAGCAGTGAGCGGCTGAGCAGTGGCTGAGCTGCTGGTGGGGCTGAACCACGACAACATGCTCCATAATCTCCTCCAGAGCCACCCATCACAGATCCAAAAGGGCTCCCCTAGGTTCTATACCATATCTGCCAGTTGGCATCTCTGGCACCCAACATGTTGGACGGTGATACCCTGCCATACCTAGGCATCAAGTCCTGCTCCAGAAGCTACCAAAATGCAACCTACAGCAGGGAAGAACTTTGCTAGTTTCCACATTAAAAGACCGTGCTATCAGTAAACTCATTTTTAAAAAAAACCAAAACCTTAAAAAAAACCCAATTTATATTAAATTGCCCAGAATTTAAAAGCCGTGTGCATCTCTCAGCCAGTTTCGTGGTCAGAGCACAGAGTTTGGGCTTAGCTGCTATAGAATTTTTATTGTTTCTGTGGAAAAAACCCACACATACTTGATTTAGTCCTGAACAGGGTAGTCTTGCTTTGCTTACACAGCTCCAAATAAACATGTAGAACAGAGCTCAGCCTTACACAGTTTAATTATCCCATATTAACAACAAGAGGTGGTAAAAGGACAACTCAGGAAAACAGCATCACAAGGCCGTACTGAGAAAAGCCACTCGCAAACGACAAAGAAGGGAAAGAATCCATTCCTTGTTACAGCTTCCAAGACGAAGCTAATTCAAAACAGTTTAGAAAACAAGTATAAATTGTTAAATAATTTAACACAAAAAAAATTTGTTTCTCCAAATGATCCTGTTGTTTTGGTTTGGTTTTTAATTTATTTATTTGATAGGCAAAAATTTTAGTGGAATAACGGTCTGTTTGCTATAATTGCAATAATTTACACACTTGATTTAAAAAAAATAAGAACAACCCACAGTGATGGCATAAGCCTCACGTGTCATTAGCACTTTTTTAATGTATAAATAGTACATTGTCTGTCTCTCTAATGCAATTTTAACAGTGTATCCTCTCTCACCACAGGACCAGTCAAAAAAAAATCTGACAAAAATATCAGCGTATTCTGGGTTGAAACCTCAGACTCAATGAAGAGACTTTATGGCAATGCCTTTTCGCAGAGACAGGAACACTGAGATGCAAAAGCCACAGTCCTCCCTTATTCAAGAGCAGTTAGAGGAGAGGCCATCAGCACTGTCCTTGCCCTATCTGCCACCTCCTGCCTGCACGGTCACCTTGCAAGATGCTAGACAAACAATACACGTCTGCTTGTCACCTTCCAGCACAGGCAGTCACCTCCTCAAGCACAAAGGCATCTGCATTTTCTGGAGGGCAGCTTCTGACCGTGCCCAGGGCTGTATTTGTAGGTTTACTGTCTGCCCAGATGGCAGATCTAATTTGGAAAGTAATCTCAGGCCACCTTTCCAAATGCAAATACCCATGAACAGACTGAGGCAAAAACTGTTGCAGCTTGCAGTGTTTGAGCTTGCAGGGCAGAAATCCTGCAAATACACCCTCCTTCCTTACCTTCTGTTGCAGGTGACTTTTTAGGCACATTCACATAGGGCTTGCCTCTGTAAGAGGTGGCAGCTATAGAAGCCTCTGTTTGATGACTACACCCATGGAAACAGGATGGCTATCAACACAGGTCTTGATCTGGGTCTGCAGCACACACCTCATACTCCTCTTGCTAGCAACAGATTGTGCTTGGTAAATGTCATTTAACTGGCTGGAAAGAAAACAAGATTTAAGAAAAAGCAGGGAAATGGCACCCACTGCATTCAGGGCATGGGGGCAGGCTGGGGAGTCTCCAGGGACAGACTGAACAGACAACCATATGCTAAGGGAATATTCTGGAGCAAAGGGAATTGGGCTGCGTCCCCTTTTCTGGGTAGAGATGTTGCAGAGCCGTAGTCTGTGCCCAACCCATGCAGATCTTTTAATCGTTAATAAGGAAACAGGTGTGTCCTTCATGTTCTTAACAGAGACGCTTGGCAATGGCTCCAACAGACATTCAAATGAAAAGGGGTATCCAAAAAAAACTCTAGATCTTCTTCAACTAGATAGCACTCCACCATCTCACCCAGTGGGAGATGGACTAGATGACCTTTAAAGGTCACTTCCAACTCAAACTGTTCTATGATTCTGTTATTCTGTGATCTCACAGAGGTGAAAGACCTGAAATTTTTTAACAGGACATAATTACTTATCTACCTTTCGCATGGTTCACTGGAATGTATTAGACTATGGCACATGCAGACACACCTGATGAGGTTCAACCTACAGAGGACAGGAGTCACTGTCATGACAGGAATTACATGTCACATTAACATGGCCCAGTTAACATGTTTGACCTCCACAAAACCTGCTCATTGCCATCACATTTATGCAAAACGATGTCTCGTGCCATGTTGGGAGGTATCTCTGGAGCAGAACTCTGTTCCGCCTCACCAGTGGAGGGATGAAATCTCACTCAGCCTGGACTAGGAAAAATAGTGCTGTTAAATACAGTGTGATGAAGATGGTTGCTTAACACTGAAATATAGCAAGCTGACCTAAGATGCGGAACAGTAACAGATATACCATTGAGAATTACTGAAAAGCAGTAAGCTTTTCACTTAATGATATTTTCACTTTGATTGGTCTGTCCATAGCAAGAAACACGGTACAATCAAATCAAAGAGTTTATTTGCATAGGAAATAGCAAAAATAGCACCACTGAGAGCTACACAGTAAAGACTTTGTTTAACCCTGGCATGTGAACACGTTATTTTATTTCATTTTTCGGTAAAGCAGAGGCAAAGTTTATCTGCTGCTGGTGAGAAAAAGACTCCGAGGCTGGCAAATGGTTATGTCTGGGCTTTAGCAGTGGGGTCTGGTTCTGGGGTGGTTATAGACAGCTGTGGCTTACAGCTTAGCCAGCTTGGAAGCACCATGCCATATGGTGAACGTGCCAGCAGGGCACGGCTCCTTTTTTCCATCTCCAAAAGACCTGACGAGATTTCCAAACACGCTCAGCACTTAGTGTCTGTGTCAAGTTCATTACTCCGATCAGTCAACACAAACTGCTTCGTGCAGAACAGTTTTGAAAATGCAGCTGCTTTGCTGGCTGGCGCGTATGTCCGAGGCCTGCCCACCTCTCAGATCCACACATTTGTGAGTGGGATTGTCTTGGTCAGAGGGTTGAACTCACAAATGACGTATTGTGAAGGTCTTTTCAGACTCCATCCCTTTACTTTCCCTTTGCATTCTCAGGTTAAATTTGGCAATTAGCCGATAGGGTAAAAGGACCAGTGCCTGACTTTTTGCTTTCACCTTCAAACACAATTTCCTCCAGGTTTCTGAACATCTCTTTGCTCTGACCCTTTCATCAGAAGTCAACCTCCTCCTAGACCAGCCTGCAACTTCTCACCTACCCTCTAAAACACAACCTTGCCAAGTTATTTTCATAGTAGATCATCCAAAATGGCGAAGTTGGGTCACACTTGGATTCCTGAGATTTTTAATCCCAGGTGACTATCTATGCTGTTATGGCCAATTTTGGGGTGAAGAAGTGGTAGGGAGCTGTGTGTGCGCTGACAACGAACAGGGGATTTGGCATGCCTGAGCTGACAGAGGACAGCATCGTGGTGTTTTGCAGAGGCATCTCCCTAACAGAAAGAAGCTAAGGTCCATCTGGTAGGACCAAACCTTCTGAGTACCAAAGTTCTTGCACAGGGACCAGTGAGGAGGTTTAGATCATCTTTGCAGTCTCTTCAGGCCTTACGGTGAGATCCCACACGGTCCCATAAAAAGTAGGTCCTATAGCATACAGATTGACTTATGGTCAGAAGAACATTAATTTTAACAAGGATCTTCTGGGAAACACACATTGGCTGTTCGTAACTGTCTGTCCATTGTGAGTTGAACGTACTGGAGACCTCTTCCCCAGCTTTGGCATGGCTTTGCCTTCCTCCTCTCCAAGTGGATGGCAGATAGCACCAACAATCCTGCGATCAGCCTATGTCTCACAGTTAATGCCCTGGGCTGCACAGTGCAGGATTTGATTTCAATTTCAAGGGTTAGGGGTAAAGCTTTGGAAAGAATTAACGAGATAACAGATGAAAATTTTGACATCGGAATGGTTTTGCATAAACAGCTACACAATGCATTGATATTAAATGCTCTTCAAAAGAGGAAAAACCACTTATTTTTAATGTTTTAATATGCCCTGACATTAGAGAAAACAAAAACAAATTCACATATCACATCAAAGATAATAATAATAATAATAATAATTCATAAAAATAATCTGACCGACCGGCAGCATTTGTTGGCTTTAGAAGGCCTCCCACGAAAGAAACACAGTTGAAGACATCTGAGAGCTCTTGGCAGGCACGATGAATTCAAGTTTTAAAAACAAGTCTGGGGATACTCCCTGCATGCTAGGGCCCTTTGACGTTGGCGGGTCTGGCAGCCAGGCTTGCGTAGTAAGCGCACTGAGTGGGATCACACTGTCCGTTGGCTCCTGGAGGTCCTTGTGGACCCATGAGACCAGGCACCCCAGCTTCGCCTGGAGGGCCAGGTGGTCCTGGCATCCCATCTTTGGCATAGCCAGGCTCCCCTGGGAGGCCTAAAATAAAAACAAAACACCTTTGGTGAGTGGCACCCCCAGGGTGCAGTACTCAGCAGGAGTAACATCACAGGAGACAGCTTTGCTGCCAAGCTGGGATGCAGACATCAGCTTGCACAGGTTTGGGTCTAGCTGGAATGTGTCTACAAGGATGTGACAAGTTTGGCTCCTGCGAATGAAAGATTTCCATTCTCTGTGGCATCCTTGGGCTGCACAGCTCTGCTATGGCTGCTCTTCTTCTATGACCACGTTGAAGTTATGCACCTGCACAAGCCAACTAATGACATGTAGTCCTCATAGGCAGGATGTGAGGATGGGAAAGCTTGAGGTGAGAGCCAGCTTTGGGAGATAACTCTGTACAAAGTATAGTGGCTCCATTGCAATTTTAAGGCAATGCAAGGCCAGTATGCCGAATGCAGCCCATGGAGTTACAACAAAGCAGAGTGAAGGTAAAACTGATCAATGGCTCCTGATTTCAAATTAGAAACAAAACATATTTGCTGCTTCTTTGTCAGCAAAGATAAAGCACAAGCTGTATGCCTGAGGCACAGGTGTTGGATATGACCTTTTACAATATCTGAAGCTACCTGGATCTCTGGGTTAAGCTTGGTCACAAGAAGATTCTGGCAAGGGCAGATAAGACACTTCACTATGTATCTAGTAATTAAAACTTCACTTTGGATTTGTCCCAAAGGTCAGTTAACCTAGCTGTTACTGAGATGGATCATTACACCTGTCAATCAGGCTGAAGAAACAAAGGTGGCCAGCTATGATGCTAGTGATGTATTTCTTCCCTTTGGGCCACTTTCTACAGAAATGCGTATGCTGTATTCGTTATCCTGATCGTCTGTCTAATATGCCAGAGACCTATGTCCTTGCAGCAGTTCTGGGTGATGTGTTTTGTGACGTGTTCTGAATAAACCCACCTGGAATTCCTGGAGGACCTATTTCCCCTCGTTGGCCAACACCAGTCTCTCCTTTCTCACCCTTTGCTCCTCTTTCTCCTGTAGAGAGGGAAAGAAAAACAACGAACAGATAAGCATGATCTACAAAACTAAGGAATACTACCGCAGGTCTTCCAGCCACACTGAAGGCAATATATTTGCTAAAAATAGTTCCTAATTGTGGCCAGTCCTCTGAGATGGGATGTTAAGTGGAAATGAAGGCTCATGCCACTCGAAGAGGTGGAACATGCCAGGAATTACTGGTCACATTCACTACCTCTAGTTCAACAGAGTGAAGCTGCTTCTAATATATATGTTTTCAGGACCATTTAGATGCTAACAGGAGAGGTGGATGTCAAAGTGTGGTGGACACATCCCTTTACCAGACTACCCAAACACATCAAGTTTCACGCACCTTTGGGACCAATAGGTCCAGGTGGCCCTTCAGACCCTGTCTGTCCAGGCCGGCCAGGCTCTCCTGGAGGACCAGTTCTTCCTGGGAGTCCTTCCTTCCCAGGGGGACCAGGAGGTCCTGGTCTGCCATGGGATGCTTTTACATGTGTAGGCTGTATCTGAGCCAGGAGATAGTCTAACTTTGCTGTGAAGAGAGAGAAATGGGTTTGTTAGACTAGAAGGTCAGTGCCCCAAGACATGAAGAGCCAGAATCAATGGCCCAGTTAAGTTCAAGTACTGTCACAGATCAGGTTTTAAGGCTCATCCATTCATTGTCCGCACAAAATCCTTCCCCATAAGCCATGATGGTGCCTCCTTGACTCTCTCTAAATTATTTAAACCTAATTTCTCAGTAGCTTTAAACTTCTCCTAAATTTCGTACTTAATCCTAAACACTTCTCTCATCCTCTTCTTCTTGTCCATCAAGGATCTGAAATGTCCTTTCCTTTATCTATGTTGTCAGTGGATTTCTATCAAACTGGGATCATTGATGCTCTGAAAAGAAGAGCCTACACAGCTTCTGCTTCTGCTACACAGAACAAGATGTTACATGGCTGCTTTGTAGGAAAAAAAGCTTACTTTTCTTGTTCTGGGCTGTTACACATGTGGAGTTAAGCTAATGTATTCATCTCTGGCTGTGAAGTCAGAAACGGTGACTAAGACAGCTCCCTGAGTCAGCATATTCTCCAGTTTCCATACAGGCACACTGCTTGCTACTTCCATATTAAGTCTCTGAACAGCCTGGAGAGCTCTTAAGATACACTCTGCATCACAAAAACATCCCACAAAATAGAGGGAGAAGGGTTTTTCTATCTTTTCTTCATTGATCCAAAATCTTGAATGCTTTTAGATTGGCGTGGAAGTTGAAGTCTGAGAGTGTGTAAATAAAATCCTTCAAATAAATCACTCCGTTGAACCATGATCTTTAGTATGGAGGCAAATGCCTGCAGCTATGTCAGCTCTCCAAGAGCTGGGTGACAAGCACTTGAACTTCATGTTTCACTGTAGATGGGGTCAGCAGTGGTCTGCAATGGAAAGTATCTTCCATAATCTCAGGTACATTTTCTGGCTTCCCAGAGCTGATTACTTACCATCTAGCTGCTTGGCTAACTCCTCTTGGATGAGCCTTCTCAAAGTCTCTAGAGATGGAGGTTCCCCCTAGAGAGTAATAATCACAGCAGTAACAAGACAATAATCACAGCCAGGGGATGTGCAAATTAAACCCTCCACAACGGGTTTTGTGGGTTGCATTTCATCACCCACAGCACACACAGGGCTGCAGGGACTGCCTGAAAGAAGAACGTAAAGGGACTCAAAACATCCACAGTTCCCAACCTGCTGGCAAGCCATGGGCTCAACGGTGCCAGCAGGGAGCCTGGGCAGGGGGCATTGTTGGGACACTATCCCCATCTCCTTCCTAGAGGAAATCTCTTTCCTACACACTTATAGGAGAAGTAGTAGAAATTGAAAGAGGAGACATCCTCTGCCCTACTAGATCCTAGTGGAAAGCCTACCTCCTTTTTCAGCATTGCACATTTCCTTGCATGTATGCTCCCAGGGTACTTAAGGTGGGTATCTAGTATCAACTAGACTGTTGAAGGGAGACAGGGGATGTGGCTGCCTGGCCTTTGTCCCCTACCCAGCCTCCAAGGGACAGTATCTTTCATCCCCTCTCTCAGCTCTTTTGTATGACGTTGCTGTTGAACAGCTGTAACAGCTGTCAAAACTTAAAGCTATGTGAACAACTCTGGATGATGCAACTGAAAAAATGATGAAAACATTTTTGGTAGGCTGGAAGGAGAATATTTTAGGCTGTGGCTTTCCAAGAAAATAAAAAAAAAAAAAAAAAAAAAAGTGGTTTTAGGGTAACCAGAGCCTTGTCTTTGCATAAGCTCAAAAGAAAAGTTTTATCTGTATTTAAAAAATAAACCATTTTGAACCAACAAGATCAAATGTTTTCCCTTGTAAATCGCAAAGTGAGATGTTTCACTTGAAATACACTTTTCTTGTTTTGGCTGAAATTATTCTTTGAATTTCTGCCAATTTTGAAAGCACTTCTGCTCAATCTAAAAATTGCAGTCTTTTGTGAATGAGCTATTTGCATTAAAGTGTTGATTTTCCCTCACACCTATCCTTTTAACATACAAGGATGCAGTCTGTGTCCTCTACGTTTATAAAACACTCCTGAGGTCTTCTGAATCAGAAGTTACTCTTCATTAAAAAATGTAGATTTCATTCAGTAGCTAAGAGACATTTCAATTTTAACCAATAACATTGCTGATAAGTACAGAGTTGGTCTATTTGCTGCCTTCTTCCTGACATAAATTTTGCATGAGAAAAAGATGTGTTCGTTGGTGACAAAAGAAATAATTTTGTCATTAAGTGCTAACCATTTGTGATGGCTGCTAGTGAATATCCCAGTAAGTAAACATGAAGGCTTACAAATTATCTTTTCAAGTTTTAACTGTATTAGTTGCATTAAGTCTTCATAATCATCATTGGATTTCATCAAATTTCTATGTTGTTGAGACACACAAAGAAATGCTCTGTCTAAAATTTACCCAGACTTTACATCAGAGTTTGTTTCACTGTTTATTCCCCTCAGAGGTAATCTCAAATTCATCCTCAGGATGGGCATAGCAGCTTCAGTAGTGTTGGTAGTTTCTCTCATTCTTCTACATATATTACCCTCAGGCACTCTCAGTAGCAAGGTTGTTTCCGGTTAGGAGGGAAAAAAAAAAAAAAATTAAACAAAAATAGGATTTCATGAATTCTGATGAGCTGACTCCAGGATTTCCAGGAGTAGAGCAGTGACCTTTCCACAGCTCAGCATTTTGCCTTTCATAACAACCAGCAGCAGAGGAAGGCGTAAGATCTCTGTATGAAATGCTATGCATTAGCACCCTTACGGAAAGAAACCTTTTCAGACTTCAGACCCATGGCCATAGTCACATGACCTGATTTAGGCTTTTAGGGGTACAAGGTGTCCAGGGGCTATGGGTCTGGATTGCTCAGCTCTCCTGAAGTTCAATCCAACACCACCACAACACTTCCCTGACAGATGCTATAGCTTCCCTTTTTATGTACCAAGAGACAGGAGATCAAAACGCTGCCCCCCCATTACAGCACACACTTGCTCTGGTTTCTGTCAGCCTTACCGTGATCTTGGGTGCTTTTCTGATCACACACCGTGGCAGTAAAATTACTGTACAAAGCCCTTGCCTGGCAGACTTACCCTTGGTCCTGGAAATCCTGGCTGTCCTGGGGGACCGGGAGGTCCAACTTGCCCAGTGTCTCCTGGGGGTCCATGGGGACCCATCAGTCCTGGATGGCCTTTATGACCAGGTATCCCAGGTTCACCTGGAGGGCCTTTTTCTCCTTGAGGGCCTTTTTCGCCTTTGATGCCAGGCTCTCCCTAAGCAAAAAAGCTGACATTACCACCACAAAATAAGAGGCAAACTTCTGATTTCCAAGCACAGCGAAACACAAACAGCTGAGCTGGCAAAGTTACTGAATACAACATCTGGTGCATTACAAATGATCCACAAATTGTTACTGACGGAGAATGATTAAGGAGAGGGCTGGGAAGGTGGGGAGCACAGCAGATCTCTACAGGCCATGCTGCACTCCTGAATGACCCCTTCCTTGGGCCTTAACTCAAGATAGCTCTTTTTATTTCAATGTAATGAAATAACTAATAATATTCTCCAACTTACCCTCTCTCCTTTGGAGCCAGTTTCACCTGGTTTGCCTGGTACACCCTGTAACAAAATAAGGGTGAGCATAAAAGAGCTATCCCTAATAACAGTAAATAATAAAGTGCATGCCTTTGCAATGATTCTTGTGACCTGGGGAAAATTATTTCCCTGTCAGTCCCACAGATTCCTGAGAGCTCCCTGTTTGCTTTCAAATACCAAGAAAAAAATCAACTTGTTGCAACCCAGGTAGCATCCTTGATGTTTTGTTTTGTTTTTTTCTCAAGACACCAGCCCCACTTTGAAACAACTGGATATTTAACTTAACTTACCTCTTTTCCTGGAGGACCTTTCTCTCCTGGTTCTCCCTGAGAGATACAGAGAATGAATTTAGCACCACACTTCAAGGAGTTGGAAGAAAAACCCTACCTAATAACCACAAATTTTGCTTTCTATTTAGAGCACGTTTTCTGCTACACAGCAGCAGGTTTGGATGATTTATCCTTATCCTACTGCTATAGGTCATTCCTGGAAAGATATATCCTACTATTTAGAAAGCATTTTTAAGTAAGGCTGCATACCCTGTAAATGTTTGTAAATAAAAGGAAGTCATTTCTACAGAACCAGATGAGATCAGGACAGATGTTCCACTAAAAGTATGTTCCTGCTTTCAATGCATTTTATCTATTTTTCTTACAGATGTTTCACAAAGCTTCGTACACTTTACTTGGGATATTTTAGCTTAATCTGTGCCAATGTTATTGCCATAACAGTCTAAAGATGTAAGGGATGTAAAATGTTGCAAGTAGAGGTACCGTCTTGTATGACACCAGTTGAGACAACTGGGACAGAGCCAGTGATAAAGCAAGTCTGAAAAGCTTGCCTGTATTTCAGAACTGTATCAAATAACCTCGATTTAAACAAGCACCCAATTAGAATTTTTTTCTGCATTTATAAAGTGATAATTAGGCAATACAATCTTTGCATTTTGGCATTTCAGTGAAAAAAAAGTCACTTCAGTCTTGAAGTCACTGATAAAGTAAGGCAAACATTAAACTAGTTATTGCTAAAATTCTGCCCACTTTCCCATATCATGAATGGAAAGATTCCTCTTTATAGCCCATTTACAATCCACATACATGATCATATCTACGATGTGTGCATGTAGGTGGTATTTTTCCCATAACCTGGAAACACATATGACAACTTCGACAGTGCTAGCATACATCCATGCCTGAGCAATGTCACTAATCACAGATGTATGATCACATCAGCTCCAAATTAGGCAGCATCAGACTCACTCGAGTATTCCTTAGGGCCACTTCAGTTTTAAATGGCCACCACGTTTGCTGCTTTAAATTAATTTTGCAGAGAAATATTTCTTTTTCCTCCTTTGGAAACTCCCTTTCCAATCATTAAAAAAAAAAAAAAAAAAGAAAAAGAATCATCCTGTGGAAAATTCAGCTCTGCTAGATTCATATGAAAACCTTTTAAATCTCATTTTAAGTCACAACAGAGGCAGAAACAAAAATATTTACCTATCATTCACTTTTTCCATCCTTCCAGTGGAACATAACATATTTTACTCATCTTGGAAAGGCTAAAGATATTGGATTTCAAGGCTGTGATATTTTCATGTGTATAGATATTATTTTAGATCACTTTGGGAGATTTATGAATGCTTTAATTGCCATGTACCTCGGATGCTGGTAACAAAGGAATTTTTCTTGGAACAGCAACTATCAGAAATTCCTATATTATTATCAGCACTTAAAATTCCCCTATTTAGCCTTTCCGGGGTTCATGCAGAGATATCATCTGAGTAACTTAAATACCTCATAGCCACATTAAGAAGCCTATGGAACCAGACTGACTAATGTATGCATTATCAGGTGACAGGTACCAGCTCAGTAAACAAGATTATAGACGTTTGTCCATAACAAAAACACTATTTTTGCAGTCCAGTTTGCTTTGGAAGTAAAGTATATGGCTTCTGGATCTGTCAGACCCCTGCTTATGTTTTTTTACCTGATTAAGGATGACCGTGTCCCATCTTCATCAGTCCAACATTTAAAAGCAGGTAATTAGCGAGTCTAATCCATCCCCAGACATACTTACAGGTGGTCCTCGGGGTCCTATGAAGCCAGGGAGTCCTGGGCTGCCATTTTCTCCTTTATTTCCTTTAGGACCCTTAGGACAGAAATGAGACAGACATTAGCAGCCCTTTCTCCAACATCTCTTTTCCAGAGCATGCATTTACAGATACATTGGAACTGGGAAATTTCACTGCAGCAGCAGGACTCCCAAAACTGACAAGGAAAGGAAGAAGAGTCATTTAGAAAAGCAGATTGCAAACACCGCGCTTGCGTTATTAATAAGCTACGTGAGGTCCCTGTGAAAAGATGAAAAGCAAGTGACAATTATGGAAGTGACAGGACGTCTGGTCAGTGGCCATTCTGGTGCTGCATGGTTTATAAGGTGCTGTTGCAGAGTGGAAATGCTGTCATGGGCGACGACAGGGAAACAGTGAAGATGGTCATAGTGCTCCAATCTGAGAATACAATCAATAGACAGCTAGTGAGTTGCTCTTTTGCTTTTATTTCCAGGTTGAATTTTTTTTAAAAAAGTCTATCTTTTACTTATCTCTTGTGGTATTCTGCCAAACTGTCCCTGTTTTGTACAGATCAGGGCAGTTTAAATGGCAGTTCATGACACAGAGCCATTTCATGTACACTTCTGGTATTTTTTTCCTCGTATTTTAACCTTTTCTTTCCAGACTTTGTCTCCCACCTTCTAATTCAGTACAGAATGCTTTTTCTTTCCAATATAAAACTTGTCTTCATTTTAAGCCCGTCTAGTGTAAAGGGAGCCCCAACACACCTGCTGGCACAAAGCACATGGCTCTCGGGTGCGCAATCAGCCCTGGAGATGTCAGGGGCTGGGATGCATTGCTGCGTGCCGGCTGAAGCAGGAGCACCGTGAATTGGGATGGACACTGTCAAACAGCAGATGCAAAAGGAGAAGGCTCCTGGCAGGTTTTATCTTGTGATTCCAAGCGAGCCACGGTGAAGGTGGAAAAGAAACCGTTATTGCCATGATAACCTTTCTCGCTTCTTCCTTTCGATATAGAATAGATCAGCTTGTCACAACACATTGTGAAGGAAATTAGTGCATTTCCAGACAAGGCTGGAAATAAATGGACTCATGTATAGCACAAGGAAATAGTTCCCGTAATAACCGCTATGAAAGGGAGACGATTCATTTTAATGACAGAGAAGGGCACTGATGAGATGACTGACTGTTCTGCTGACCAACATTGTCTCATTGTTTTGCCTTTCTCATCCATCTGACTTTATCCTTTTTCAATCTTTTATGTTATTTTTGGACTGTAAATCCTCTGGAGCAGAGGCTGCTTGTGCAGGATGCTGCCTGGTGAGTCCCTGGGTCACCAGCTGACTGTCTAGGTAATGTGATAACACGATGACGATTGAAAACTAACCTCAGTCACAGGGCATCCCAAAGACACGGTGGCCTGGTGAAGACTCAGAAAGCCAAAAAGCACTAACAAGAATTGGGAACAGTGATGAGCATGATGAGAACAAGAAATGAAGGTTGAAGAGGCAGCAGCAGGATCCACAGAGTAAGAGCAATGACAGTGGTCCCGGGAAGGTAAGAAGGGGAAAAAAACAGTAGCACTAATTCTTGGCTGCAGAAAGGCTGTGAGACTGCACCAGTCCTACCCCACCCGTAATCTGTGTTATCACCTCCCCATGCAGAAAGGTGTTGCTTGCTTCTCCACAGCCATTTAGGAGAAGACATCCCTGCAGCAAAGCAACCCATGCTCAGGGCACAAGTCTCAGGCAAGGCTGGGGTTGCTTTACAGCGTTGCATGGGCCATAAAGAGTGTGATCCTGCTGCAGTTCTTCAGATTCTCCTGCTATGCCTTTGCTTCTATTTGAACCTACCAGCCCAGCAAACTGTAACATCTAGGTAGAAAAAAAGAGGGAAAAGCCTTGCATTTCAACAGATGCTACTGGACACAAAGGTACATTTGCATGGATTTGCTGAATCGCGAACAATTTTCAGCAGCAGAATACAGAAAAAAAAAATAAAATCCTCCTCACTGTCCTCCTTATAGCTCTTCATTACCATGCTGTTCTTCCACACAGGATGGCCCCAGGGGGGGTTTCATTCTGCTTTGTGATCTTGGTTTACTGCCCACTGTCTGCTCTTTCCCCAAGTGCCTGGGGAGGATTTTTCTGCTGCTGCTATTCCGCAATGGCAGTCTGCCAACTCCCCGAGGCCCTCTCCTTCCTTGTGACAACTCTCTGCTGGCTGCACAGTCTCTGCTTGGCAAAATTAAATCTACTGGTGAAGATGAGGCATGCCAATCTGTTTTTCCACACCAGGTAATCAATCATTTCCTTTCTCTGTGAATACTTAACTTTTGCTGGGAAATATGATGACCCAGCTTGCAGGTTAATTCCAAGAACGCAGCCAAACCCCCTCCGATGTTGTGGCCAGCCAGTGATTTTCAGATCACTGATCTTCAGACATGGCAGCTTCAGGAATGGTAAGCAGCTATACATAATCCACTCCACCTATACTTCATCAATCAGCTCTCCTTCACATAACTGCTTGCTGCATGAGTTTCCCTTTGTGGTACTTACTGGGTTACCTGGGGGGCCAGGTTCTCCTGCAGATCCAGGCGATCCATTCTTGCCCTATGTTAAAAGGAAAAAGGATAGTGAAATAATGTATACTACAATTAAAAATATCCATCTACTGCTACACCAGCAAGGATTTCTTTAGCATTGTACAACCTCCGCTCTTGGCAGACTACAGAGTAGGGATCTCCTATTTTCGATTGAACCCACAACTTTTGCATCCCTGGTTGCATGGCTGATCCCATCTCAGGAAAAAACCTGAGTGATGTGGACCCAAATCCCCTAGCCTGAAGCAGACCTAATCACCACTCCTTCTCCTCCTCCATTTCTTCACTCTCATCCCTATCATATGCAGCATCCTCCAGTATGGATGGAGCCACCTACTGTGGCAGCTCCAAGTTATTGTGTTCAGACAAGCCCCTTTAGTCCATATTTGAAGCACCTCTTGGCAACTCACTGAACAATGTTAAAGTTCATTTAACATAATGCTAGTTCTATGCACTAGCCCACAGACCTCCAGATACTCCCCCATCTTCCTGGTTTAGAAAAATTCCTCTCTCTAGTGACCGAGGTAGGTCCTGCAAATAACTGCTTACCATCCTCTTCTCAGGGCTATCATCTGAATCAGGGTTCAGAGGCCAGATATCTGTTTTTTAATCATCTCAGGCTTCCTCTTTTTTTGGGCAAATGGAGACAACCATGTGTTCTAAAGCCTTCAGGCATTTGACATGTGCCTGACACCAGATAACTCAGAATGAGCTAAATCGTCCTTTAGAAGCACCTGTTTCTCACTATTCCTTGTCAAAGGAGCTGAGCTGACCATCTACACTAAAGTTGGCAAGGTGACATTATACACTCTGCTCCACTCTGCTCCCAACTCACCACGCAGATATGTTTTTCCCTGCATTGGAGTTGACCATGAACACCAGCCCTTTCACTGGCAATATTCAGAATCATGCCTTGTGATCCTTATCAGAGAAACAAAGCAGAGGAAGGACAAGAGAAGCTGGTAATTTGCCCTCCAACATACAAAACCCCAAGTATCTCTTCTCCAAAGAAGAGTATGGCCTGGAGTTAGGATTATTTCTTTTTCCTCAAATCTTTTTATTCATTGCTAGTGTTGTGGAGGGGCATGACACGTTAGTGAGTGATGCCAGCAGTAAAGGAATAATGAGATAAATTACAAGATAGACACAGGAGCTCTCCATATGTTCCTGCAGTCTAATTTAAACTTCTACTCTCCCAGCTCAGAAAGATCTGCCACTCCAGCTCCTGGCATTGCTGGCCGAACCAGCATTTTGCCCTGATTATGGAACATGTTGTAGAATCTATTACACTAGCAGGTCTTGCGAGAAGGAAAAGAAATCACTCATTGCCACAGAGATCTGCGTTCAAATTTGGAAAAGATTGATTTCTAAGAAAGAATTGAGAAACCCGTGAAATTAATAAAAGTAATTTCTCATCCATCCCAAATGACACTTTCTGAAATGTCAACTAAATTGCCCTTTCTCTGCTGAACTTGTAATAACTCTACAGGTGTTCAATTAAACAAACCTTTTCCTAAAATTATGGGTCTTTTTCAGAAGAAATTACAAAAATTAATAGTATCACAACTGGACCTCACATATCTCAAACTGGGCACCCGCAATTAATGCCTGCCTTGGAAAACTGAGGCCATGTGAGAAGCGAGTGTGATGCCAGAGGCAGGACTGGAATATGAGCACTTCTGACACTGCAATCCTGGCAGATTCCATTAAACTCTTCTTCCCACCAAGTCAGCAATCATCACTCCGTTGCACTATTATAAGACTTCATCAATTTCTAGCAATATCATTCTGATTTGTCTTTCTCAAAGTAGGTAAAGTGTTTTAATTGAACATCATCTGAATCTTGCTAAAGATTCTTCTTCCACACCAGAGCTCTGGGCTGCAGGACATTCCCACTACATACAATATACCTCCAGAAATGGCTTATCAGGAGAGAAAACTCACCGGCTGCCCTCTGAGTCCTCGAGGGCCCTGTGGTCCTATGGGACCGATATCACCCTGAAATGAAGAGAAGCATTCTGGTGAGGGAACGATCTGACATGAAGGCAAACAAACAGGCATTTAAAAAATGTTCCTACTAAAATCCCCTGTTCATGTATTAGAAGGAAACAGCATTAAAGTGTCACTATCCCCTTTCAGTTATGTATGAGGAAGACCAGCCTTCTGAATTTTAAACATCTATCACTAAATGAAGTCCGATTACAGGCAGAAACCATTATTATCAAGTTATCTTAAAGCCGGATTTCTCAGGGACTGAGATTTCCCAGTATTTCTCAAGAACCAACTACTTTGTTATCTCTTGAGGGAGGCTTAAGACCTGCTTCTATTTCCTCTGAGGGGTTCCCCTAGGTCTATCTTCTATTTTGCTTTGTAGGGTACTATTTACAGCACAACAGTATTCCAGTGATACGAGGGGGTGCAAATGAGAAACCACTTCCCCAGGTCCCATGGCAATGGCACACCAGCCTCTTGGTACGTTGCTCATCAGCTGCTGCAGGACGAAGTGTCAGCTGCGCTCTCCCAGGACTTTGTTATGTGACTGCATTTGACACTAATGATGTCAGAGGATCTGTTTGTACTCTCTCTCTTTCCTCTGAGCAGCAGCCTATTATTCCACAGGTGTTTCACAGATTTCAGTGGAGCTACGCATGCAGTAAGGTACAGCTTTTGCAGAGGAAGCATGGTAGAACCTGGTCCAGTGGGACCTGTAGAATGAGGCACTGCTCGGAGAGGGGTGGCAGAAAGCAGATCCATGGCTACAAAGCACAGTCTGAGATTCAAACAATGCACCTTTCTCTACATTTCCAAGGATATAGCTGACATTTAAGTGCCAGCAACTGAGCAGTGACAAAGGCCCTCAAATTCTTTGTTACCCTAATGATCTTTGCACAGATCATTCCCTGTGCACTGCTGCAGTAATTCACCTTTTACTGCAGTTTCTGCAGCTGTTTCAGAACAGGGTCACTGTGAATGAAAATCTTCATTTGTCAGGGAGCAGGAAATTAGTTTCTGTTTAAAATGGTACACTTACATCCTTCCCTGGCGGCCCCTCACGCCCAGCAGGACCTGTCGCACCTGGCTCCCCCTGCAATTCAGCAAAAAGGAAAGAGATATCAGCTCAAGGTCAAAGACAGACCAGTAACACCACTGCAAGCGCTTTGGAGTTCCTGCAATATTGAACTGAGCTCAGTGAAAACTTTTTAAAGCCAACAAGAGCCTTGTGCATCGTGCATGACACGCAGCTTATAAAAATAACTCAGAAGGATCTTCTGTAAGTGATGCATAAGGCAGTGCACTGCTTTCCAGCAGAATATTTACCACTGCTAGTGCAGTCACTGGAAACCAGCAGTCTATTTACAATACAGAAACTACCATAATGAGGAAGAGATGAGGAACTCCAGCAACCAGATTTTTCAGCTAAGCTCCTGCAAGCAGAGCATTTTACCTCCCTTTAAAAAGCCAGAATTATGCAGAAGAACATTCAGTTTTCTATTCCACCCTCTACACCCAGGAGCTTTTTGTACTGCATTGCTCAAAACCAAAAGGAAATCAATTTTTCATACAAGATTTGAGCTTTGGGTTTTACGATCCAGACACAACTATGTCAAAGGGTTAGAGACATTTCTATTCTCATTTCGGTAAGTTTTGTCCCTCAATTTACTTTGCACTTAGGCGTTTTTTTTTGGAAGAGAGTTGATACTTGTCCAACAAATGCAGTAGGGTTCCTCACCTTTGTACATCAGCATTTGTACCAGAGGGATGTGGTATGGAAACATCCTTGAAACTTTCTCACAAAGGGCTATCTCAAAGGCAACATCAGAGAACTCAACTCTACCAGCTGCCTCACCTTACCTAGAAGCAGAACTTCAGCAGAGGGAATGAAGACAGCTGCTGTGATTTTATGCCATGGGTGTGGCCCGTTGAATTGTGGTTGAAAATAGACATAGAATCATAGAATCATAGAATGGCATAGGCTGGAAGGTACCTTAGAGATCATCTAATCCAACCTCCCTGTCATGGGCAGGACCACCTCTCAACTAGATCAGGCTGCTCAAGGCTCCGTCCAACCTGGCCTTGAACACCTCCAGGGAGGGGGCATCCACAACTTCTCTGGGCAATTTCAAAGTCTTACCACCCTCATACTGAAGACTTTCTTCCTAAGATCTAATCTAAATCTGTTCTCCTTCAACTTAAACCCATTTCCCCTTGTCCTATCAGTGGGCACTCTTGTAAAAAGTCGCTCCCCAGCCTTCCTGTAGGTTCCCTTCACGTATTGGAAGGCAGCTATTAGGTCCCTCCGAAGTCTTCTCTTTTCAAGGCTGAACAACCCCAGCTCCCACGACCTGTCCTCGTAGCAGAGGTGCTCCAGCCCCTGGATCATCTTTGTGGCCCTCCTCTGAACACACTCCAACAGATCTATGTCTCTCTTATGGTGGGGACACCAAAACTGGATGCAGTATTCGAGGTGGGGTCTCACAAGAGCAGAATAAAGGGGGAGAATCACCTCTCTTGACCTGCTGACCACGCTTCTCTTTATACATCCCAGGATGCGGATGGCCTTCTGGGCCGCATGAGCGCACTGCTGGCTCATGTTGAGCTTCTCATCTATAAACACCCCCAAATCCTTCTCTTCAGGACTACTCTCAACCCACTCTGTGCCCAGTTTGTATTTGTGCCTAGGACTGGCCCGACCCAGGTGAAGGACCTTGCATTTTGACTTGTTGAAGCTCATGCAGTTAGCACTGGCCCATTTCTCAAGCCTATCAAGGTCCCTCTGGATGGCATCTCTTCCCTCAAGTGAGTCCACGGCACCACACAGCTTGGTGTCATCGGCAAACTTACTGAGGGTGCACTCAATGCCGTCATCCATGTTGCTGACAAAGATGTTTAACAGCACTGGACCCAGAACAGACCCCTGAGGGAAACCACTTGACACTGGTCTCCATGTAGACATCACACCATTGACCACAACTCTTTGAGTGCGACCATCCAGCCAGTTCTTTATCCACTGAGTGGTCCATCTGTCAAATCCATGTCTCTTCTTTTTAGAGACAAGGATGTCCTGTGGGACAGTGTAAAACACCTTGCACAAGCCCAGGAAAATGACATCCGTTGCTTTACCCACGTCAACCAGCATTGTAGCTTTGTCGTAGAAGGCCACTAAATTAGTCAGGCATGACTTGCTCCTAGTGAAGCCGTGTTAAACACAGACTTGTCATCATTTTTACCTATTGCCTCAGAAAGGTCAGCTTTAATTCACACAATCTTTCTCCAAAGAATCATCATGCATGTGGTACATGGTACTTACCCGAGGACCTGGAGGACCTGTATCTCCTCTCTGTCCTTTGAAACCCTGCAGAAGAGAATGAAAGCAGCAATCACTCATAACTCTGATGCATGATACACTACGAAAACTCTGGCTTGAATGTGCACTTAACGGCCTTTCCAATTTCACCTGAGATTACTGAGGAATGGTCAGCATTGAGCTGCTGTATTCCAGGGATTGATCAGGAAGGACTATGTCACACGGAGAGAAAAGCCCTTTCCGTAACTCCTTAGGCTACAAGACCAAGACTGAGTGTATTCCTGGTGTGACCAGCCCATAGACTATTTAGCCCTAAACTTCACTGTCCCCATCCTTTCAGAGGACGTGTAACAGAGCACGAGGACTACAGCTGTGACCATGTCTTCTGGTAGAAGGAGTGTCATGAAGCGTAGTCATGAGGTTATGTGCTTTAACTTCTAGGAAAGGGACTACTCTTCTACAAGTGTGAAGGATTTGGAAATGCCTCTATTTGATTCTTGTTGATTATTTATTTAGTCACAATGCCATGACTATTCTCAGCCAGGCCGGCTCTTTGGTTGTATGTTTGCATCATTAAAGGCCTTCCTCTGCCCAACAAAAGCTTCCCAGCTACAGTACAGAGTGACTGGGTTGAACCATTCAGAGCAGCACGTACCGGTAAGCCTCTGGC